TAGCTCACGGACTATGAACTGACAGCTGAGGAACCTGCATGGGACCAAACTAGACCCTCTGAATGTGGGTGACAATTATGTGACTTGATCTGTTGGAGGGGCCCTGGCAATGGCAACAGGACCTATCCCAGGAGCATGAACTGGCTTTTGGGAGCCCACTTCCTCTAGTGGGATACCTTGCTCAGCCTTGATATGGTCCTGCCTCAACTTGGTATGCCAGACTTTGTTGACTACCCAAGGAAGGCCTTAACCCCTCTGAGGAGTGGATGGGGGTGAAAAGGGAGAGGGGTGGGAGAAAGGGAGGGAGGGGGAACTGGGTTTGGTATGTAAAATGAAAAATAATTTTTTAATTAAATAAAAGAAAGTGTGGTACATTTACACAATGGAGTATTATTCAGATGTTAAAAATTACTTCAGGGCTGAAGAGATGGCTCAGAGGTTAAGAGCGCTGGCTGCTCCTCCAGAGGTCCTGAGTTCAATTCCCAGCAACCACATGGTGGCTCACAACCATCTGTAATGAGATCTGGTGCCCTCTTCTACATGCAGGCCAAACACTGTATACATAATAAATAAAGCTTTAAAAAAAATGACTTCATGAACTTTGAAGGCAAATGGATAGAACAAGAAAAAAAAATCATCCTGAGTAAGGTAACCCAGATCCAGAGAGACAAACATGACATGCACTCACTCATAAGTGAATATTAGCTGTTAAGTAACAGATAATCACACTACAACCCACAGACCTAGATAAGGTCAGTAACAAGGAGGGCTCTGAGGGAATACATAGACCTCCCTGAGAAATAGGATAGATTTTGCAGGTGGACTGGGAGCAGATAGGGATGGGAGCAGGAAGGAGCAGGTGAGTGAGATGGAAAGAGAGTATGGGGAGAGATGGCTGAAATGGGGGGGAGGGAAGCATTGGGGAGCAACGTGGAAACCTAGTGCAGTAGAAACTCAAGATTCTATGAGGATGGCCCTAGCAATGACTCCTGGCAATTGGGGGTTTTGGAGCCTAAACTATGCATCTTCTATAACCAGGCAACTTCCAGTGGTGGGATGAGGACACCGACCTAGCCACAGAAGCCTCAACCTATCATCTATCCCGCTTACAAGATGTGCTGGGCAATGATAGCTCAGAACTTGTGGGAGTGGCCACCCAATGACTGGTCTAACTTGAGACCCAAGCCATGAGAGAGACCATGCTCAACACTGCCTGGATGGCCTGGAACCATCTGGGTTCTGAGCTGGGTGGCTCAGAGACTTAGGGCAGAACCAAACAAAAAAGGCAATGAAAGGATTTCTCATGATATTCTGCTATACTTATAGATCCATGCCTAGCCCAGTTATCATCACAAAGCCTTCTTCTGGCAGCTTATGGGAGCAGAGACAACAACCCATAGCCAAGCATACATAAGGCAGAGCTCAGGGAACCCAGTGAAAGAGGGGGAGGAAGCATTATAGGAGCCAGAGTAGTCAAGAACACCAGGCGAACACAGACCACAGAATCAACTAAACAGGGCCCATAGGGGCTCACAGAGACTGAAGCAGAAATCACAGAGGCTGCAAGGGTCTGTGCTGGGTCCTCTATATACATGTTATGGTTGTTTAGCTTGGGGTTTTGAAGGACTCCTAACAGAGGGAGCGGGAGTGTCTCTGACGCTTTTGCCTGTTCTTGGGACCCTTTTCCTCCTACTGGGCTGCTTTGTCCAGTTTTGATATGAGGATTTGTGACTAGTCTTATTGCACCTTGTTATGCCATGTTCAGTTGGTATCTGTGGGAGGCCTGCTCTTTTCTGAAGGGAAATGGAGGAGCAGTGGATCTGGGGGTATGGGGGATAGAGGACTGGGAGGAATGGATGGAGGGGAGGCTGCCGTCAGGATATATTTTATGAGAGAAGAATATATTTAAAAAAGAAGAGACCAGTATTGATGACCCAGAATCTTCTGGGAAGTGTTTCCTTGGGGTAGCACACAGAAGCTGTGATCTAGGCAGGGTCATAGCTGTATCTTGTGGTAGCAGCCAAACTTGGTAATGTGTAAGCGTTTTCTAGGCAGTACTGGTTGTTGAGACATGAAGGAGTCATGGAGATTTGCTAAGTCTTGGCACCATGAAAAATGGGGATGGCCTTTGGTAAATGCGTAGCCTAAAGTAGAAGCATCAGAACTGAAGGATGCTGGAGAGAAGCTTACACTTGACATCATGTAGCAGGATCAGAGTCCCTGAAGATGGGGGTCAAAGTGAAGCCCAATCGCAGCAGGAGACTGCAGCACTTTGGAGATGCCAGTACCTTGAGATAGCCACTGAGATCAGCAACGTCTGTGGAGTGGAGAGGCCTGGGCCTCTGAGACGCTTGGCAAGTCCTTTGAAACTTAAACTCCTGCTGTTGAGCTTCACAATGCTTGACTTTGGTTTTGCTTTGATCTGATTGGGACAGTGCCTGCTTCATCCCTCTTAGAGTAAGAAAATATTTAACTTGTTTGTTTTTATTTCACAGGAGGCTTTGGAATTTTATAGATATTTGGAATTTCCAGAGAGACTGGATATTTTAAAGAGACTGAACTTTTAAAGTGTTGAAATTTTTAAGAACTGTGGGACCCTTAAAAATTGGAATATTTTATATTGTGTTATTGATATTAATATGAAATCTTAGGGACAACAAAAAGGTTACGGTTTGGCAGGGATGTAGTTGTGTGTCAAGTTGACAAGGGCTGTATTACACTTGCTAGTTTCATGTCAACTTCACACAGCTAGAGTCATTTGGAAATGAGATGCCTCAACTGAGAAAATGACCCCACCAGATTGGTCTGTGGACAAGCCTATGCTGCATATTCTTGGTTGATGATTGGTGTACAACGGATGGTGCCACCACTGGGCAGGTGGTCCTGGGTGCTATTAGAAAGGAGGCTGAGTAAGACATAAGGAGCAAGGCAGTAAGTAGCCTTGTCCTCTGCATTAGTTCCTACCTTGAGTCAATGCCATGACTTCTCTGAATGATGGATTGCACACCGTAAGCTGAAATAAACCCTGTCCTCAGTCATAATTTTTTATCACAGCAATAGAATCCCTAACAAAGACAGAATCCAACAGCATGCACAGATAAACTAGTTCACCACCTGGGAGAGCAAGTGGTGGAAGGCAGATGGCAGGAAACACCAGTTAAAGGAGCCAAAGGAGAAGTTGGTGAGGGCCCTCAAAGGTCAGCCATCTGAGAAAGCACAAAGGAACTGGATACAGGAGCTGGCCAACAAAGCCAAAATGGGCAGTGTACCTTAAGATGTAGCAGAGAGTGAATTAGTCCAGTAAAAAAGGAGAGGAATTGGAACCTGCCACTTTCCCCAGTGCCAATGACCCTTCCTATAACTAGTGTGTAGACATTTTCTCTAAATTGAAACACTGTTTACTAGAGTGGGGGCTTCCGAAGACTTAGAAAGCAGGGGCTGGAGAGAGAGGTGCTCAGTGTTTAAGAGCACGTTTTGCTCTTGCAGAGAATCACTGCTCAGTTCCTAGCACCCACTCCTGGAACACCGGTTCCAGGAGATCTACTGACCCTTCTGGACTCCTGGGACACCAGGCATGAATGTGGTATACATTTCACACACACAAGCAACACAGTCACACACATAAAATAAAAATAAATGAGCCTATATTTTTTTTTTCAAAGAGGCAGGAAGTAAACAAAACTTACAAGCCTCAGGAAGTAAACCAATTCGTAAGTCTGCAGAAGTTCTGAAAACTCCCAAGGCTTACAAGATTCCCATGGGCTTATAAACTGTACTGGCTGCTGCGGAAAGGAGACTTTCCAACCAGCCAACATGCCTGGGAGTCACAACAGGAGCTCCAGGAATGCAGCTCTCATGAGACTGCCACTCACGATGAGAAGGCTTTCTGGTGACCTCTCCCACGAAAGTCACACAACTGCTGGCCACTCCAGTAACCTCAGGCTAAAGTTAATCTGAACTTTGACCTAAATCAGAACTGAGACTGGTGAGGGAAAGGGGAGGGGATAAACCAACCTGCAACCAGTAGGACCAGCAACAGACAGGGCAGATAGGCTCCATGTAAACAAGTTGTCTTTGATTATGTTCCAATCCCAGCTTTTATCTTGACTCAGATGTGACCTGAGCCACTTCCAAAAGTCTCTAAGCCTTAACCCCTCAGACTAGAGTAGAAATAAAAGCACAGTATCTCAGGAGGCCATAGTTCCTCCTGAAAGGAGGCAGGCAGTAAAGAAAGGCTGTACAGAGGGAGAAAGAAGGCGAAGGAGAGGGCAGATGGACGGAAACCCTGATGACCACACTTGTTTGTGAGTAACTGTTCTCCAACACCAGCAACTGCTGTCTTGGGACATTCAGCTGCTCCCACTACAAAAAAAAAAAAAATCATCCCAGTTGGGCTTGTTGAAGGTTGACACCCCAAATGGAGGGTGGAGAGGATGTGAGATTCTCACCTGAGTATCTCACTCTCCCCTACAACCTGTTGAACACAATTCCACCTTAATTGGTGAGGGCAATGGAAGAGCACTCGTCTCTTCTGGGTAAGGTTTTTCAGGTGAAGCCTGTTAGGAGGGAGGGGTACCCACACCCCTGCAAATAACCTCACCTATGCTCTGTAAGGGAACAAAGAAACTTTGGTTCCCCAAAGTGAACTGGTGGAATCATGCCTTGGTTTAACACTGGGGCCTTAGGAGAAAGGGTAGATGTCTCCCCTAGGAAGGGATTTTAGCAAAAACACTATTTCCCAAATAATGCACAGATTGTAAACTCTCCCCTGGGTTAGTTTCCCACGAAGTCCCAGTACTCCCTAACTCTGAAGTAGTAGGGCATGCAAGTGACATATGACATGGAAACCAATGAGATAGAGCAGACTCTATGGGTAACAAGATATTTATTGAGTGTTAGGCACAGGAGAGGGAGTGGGATGGTAAGTGGTGAAACAAAAATAAAAAGACATTTCTGGCAGTTCAGATTCAGGCCTCTGGGGCTTCACTGGGGATCATAGTCTAAGAACACTCAGCAGGTGACACGCTCTTCTCCACAGTGTTCCCTTCATGAATGACCTGGCAGCTGTATCTGCTGTGAGGTGTCCACTGGTGAGATGTCAGCGTCAGGTAGCTGCTAGTCACGTACTTGTTGTCGGTCTGTTTGGAGGGTTGGGTTGTCTCTACACCCTGAGTGACAGGGATTCCATCTATCTTCCAGGTCACCACCAAAGTACCTGGGTAGAATTCGCTCACCAGACACACCAGTGTGGCCTTGTTGGCCTGAAGATCATACAGGGAAGGCAGGAAAAGGGTGACCAAAGGGTCAGACTTGGGCTGACCTGTGCAGATAAAGAAGGGGATGACCGATGTCACAGGAGAGCCCAAGTGACAGGGAAGCACCCTTGTCTTAACAGGAGCTTTGTGACCACTCAGAATATCGTCAGAGTGATCGATCCATCCCGGGACCTGCTTCCTTCTTCCTCTCTATCCCCTCAAGTCCCCTAGAGAGCAGACAGCCTGGCACTTCATTAGGTGATATGACCCAGATTCAGCTCCTTGCAACCTCAGTTGCCCCACTGTGCCCAAGGCTAACTGTGCTCCCATCTCCCCAGTAGCTAGAGTCCAGCTCCCCGCCTCCATTATTTCTCCCATGCTCACAGCCTCCTCTGTGAATGGGAACACTCATTTGTTCTAGAAGATTGGTCCTGGGAAGTTGATCTCAAGGTGTGCCTGCTGGTTAGGGGCTCTGGGGCTCCATTCAGTTATCTCACCGAGGACTAGGTTCCACCCGGGAAAACCCTGGAAACTCCACCAAGAACTGACAGTTTGCCCACAGTGGCTACCTGATCATAAGACGCTGCATTGGCTATGTTCCAGGGGCTCCATCTCCCAGGCTATGATAATAGCAACCCCCCAACCACCCCAGAAATCTCTGGTGACTCCTGATTTCACTTGTCACATTTGCTCCTTCATTCCTCATCTAAGCCTAAGGACATCTATGAAAGATGGACAAGTGAAACACCTAGCCAAGATAGCCACCAGGCCCCAAGCCTGAGAGAGAGAAGGAACAATAGACAGTCTCCATTTTTTTCCTAGTAATCATCCTGGGAGAACCAGGTCACCTTATCACTTTGAGCCTTTTCTGTGTCTCCATGACCTCATGGACCAGCAGAAGGTTAGAGAACTGCAGCCTAGCTGAGCCCAATTCCCCTCTCAGCCTCCGTGGTTTTCTACCCAGAGTGACCTGAGCTTTGAAGGCTGGATTCATGGCACCAGCCATATATGTGGCCCTACTATGTGGCCTTCTCAGTCTGAATGCACATCTGGGCCTCAGTTCAGGTGCTGGGTCTTGTGGCCTTTAAGCCTTTGAGTCCCATTGAGCATCTGCCTCAGAAGAGTAGCTGAAGGTATTGGGGCCCTTCCTATAAGGCTAGGGAAGGAAGATGGAAAGAACCCCTACGGGGAAAACAGACTTTTCTGAAACAGTTGGATCATGAGCTCATGAGAGCCACTTACCTAGAACTGTGACCTGGGTCCCACTACCAAAGATATACCATGACTGGGGCTTAGACAGAAACCCATGAGGCCAGCATCTGGGGCCTGTTTCCCGTGGGATGGCCCGGAACAGGAACCTATTGGATAAGATAGGCACAGGACTACAGTAAATGAACTATGGCATTGGCAGAAAGTATGGACAGCCAGTATCCCACAAGTCCAGCTATCCTCTTCCAACTCTGAATTTTTCAATGTTGATAGCAACACCCGGCCTAGAAGAGTCTCAGAAAATTCCTAGGTGGTGTATCTTCTCAGGTGGGTGTGGTGGAACCAGGAAGTTCTGTGTCTATGTCTGTGTGTGTGTTTTTTTGCAGTGTCTGAATCTCTTCCATACCAGTTCCTTGTGATCTATCCAAACCAGCTTCCTCCCAGGACCCAAGCACACTCTATTGTAGAAATGCCAATTCTTTCATTTCTATCATGAGGCTTTCTCTGATCTTCCAAGCTACTTTTTCTATTGAGTCATGTGTGCATCCATCTGTGCTGACTACTCTTATGTCAACTTGACAAAGAAACTAGAGTTATCTGAAAGGAGGGAACCTCAATTAAGAAAAGGCCTCCATAAGATCTACCTGTAAGGCATTTTCTTAATTAATGATTGATGTGGGAGGGTCCAGCCATTGTAGAGGGTGCAATCCCTCATTTGGTGATGCTGGGTTCCATAAGAAAGCAGACTGAGAAAGCCATAGAGATCAAACCACTTAACGCTACCCATTCATAGCCTCTGCATCAGCTCCTGCCTCCAGGGTCTTGCCCTGTTTAAGTTTCTGTCCTGAATTCCTTCAATTATGAGCAGCAATATGGAAGTGTAAGCCAAATAAACCCTTTCCTCACTGTGGTACTTTGAAAGAAAATGGCCACCAAAGGGAATGCCACTAACAGGAGGTGTAGCCTTGTTGGAATGGGTGTGGTTTTATTGGAGGAAGTGTCACCGAGGAGGTGGGCTTTGAGTCTCATATATTCTCAAGCCATGCCCAGTGAGCAAGACCACTCAGCCACTTCTCCAGCACCATGTCTGCGTGCATGCCACCATATGGAACCATGATGATAATGTAACAAACCTCTGAAAGTGAAAGCCACACAAGTTAAATGTTTTTCCTTTATAAGAGTTGTCATGCAGTGTGGGCAAGGTAGAGACATCCCTTCTTAGCCCTCACCACCTACAGCAGATGAAGGAGCTGCAACACTTGAGAAAGCAAGCCCTGCTCCTCACCTAGGCAGCACAGTAGAGCTGACCCTGTTTGTGGTGGCACAGGTGAGCTGGCCCTGAGGGTGTGAGAGTGGAATAGCTGCCCCCCCCCCGCCCCTCATCTGCCATATGCTGGTGGGGGCAGGAGAGAGACACCCTCCCCTACCTTACTCCCTACCACCTGTGGCAGTTGGAAGCTCTGGCCCTGAGTTCATAAGAGCAGAAGAGCTGTCTCTGCCCCTCACCAAACGCAGCACTCAGGAGAGTGGCCCTGCACCTCACCTGAGCACCACAGTAGAGCTGGCCCTGATGGTGTCGATGTGGGTGAGCTGACCCTGAGGGAATGAAAGCAGGGGAACCAGCCCAGCCCTCTTGCTCATTGTTGCAAAGGGTAAACTGGTTGGGACAATGCGGGAGAGCCCACCTGGTCGTGAGGATGGGCAGGCTGATCAACCCTATAACTACCCAGGCCCAGAACCAGGGTTATGAGCTGACCCACCTCAACATCCACCCATCTGTGATCTGCTGGAGCACAAGAAGGGTCATGTCCTGCAGATCCAAAGCTGCACCATGACACAGAGCAACAACAGGATATCCAAGTGAGGGCCCAGTATTGATAGTGTAGCAGAAATCAGAGGCCTCGAAACAGACTAGTGACTCTTTGCAATGAACACTTGCAAGTAAAAATATATGGACAAAGGGTTTCCTGCATGACTCACTGGGTCACACTGCAGCTTCCATGATACAATTCTTCTTTCTTTTTTATTCTTCTCTGTCTGTCTGTCTCTCTCTCTCTCTCTCTCTCTCTCTCTCTCTCTTCGTTTTCTCTCAGATTTTATTTTGTTTTATTTTAGGGGGAGATTCAGATTATGTATGCTCAACCTATATGAACAATTATTTATAATTTTGCTTTTCTTCCATTTTCTTGATCATTTCTAATGTTTATTCATTATGATTTAATAGATATTTTGAATGTTTCATTAATTTTTTGCTTTAGCTATGATTATAAAAAGTGGAATCCATGGGGCGGGAGAGATGGCTAGGGATTAAGAGCACTGGCTATTCTTCTAGAGGTCCTGAGTTCAAATTGCAACAACTACATGGTAGGTCACAACCATCTATAATGAGATCTGATGCCCTCTTCTGTCCTGCAGGCATACATGCAGACAGAACACTGTATGCATAATAAATAAATAAATCTTTTTTTAAAAGGGGAGGCTGGAGAGATGGCTCAGCAGTTAAGAGCACTGGCTACTCTTCCAGAGGGCCCAGGGTCAATCCCCAGCACCCACATGGCAGCTCACAACTGTCTGTAACTCCAGTTCCAGGAGATCTGATACCTTCACACCAATGCACATAAAATAAAGTTAAATTATTTTTTAAAAAGTGGGATCCTGCTCAGTAATAAAAGAATAAAATATTGATTAAAAAACAACTTGGATAAATTGCAAAAGTGTTTACACTGAACTAAAGAGGACAAGTTCAAAGGTTATATACACTGAGATTCCTAATTTTTAAAAAAAGAAAATAACTTGCTATTCCTCCAGTGAACATCCAGTGAATCAGGCTGAATGAAAACTACACAGCACTTCCCCTTACAGAGCACAGCCCTGGTGCAGCAGCTCCGAGCAGGACATCTTATCTTCTAAGACAAGATCTTGTACAGAACCTGGAGCCCACTGATTCAGCTAGACTAGCTGGCCAGGGAGCCCCAGGGCTCACCCAAACTTCCCTGTGCTAGAATTAGAAGCATGGCCCTACTTCCCACTGTTTGCATGCATGCTGAGAGTCATGTTTGAGGGGCAAGGTCCTCTTGACTGAGCTATCTCCATGGCCCGTTTCTACTCCCCTATCCCTAAGACCCTTCCATGATATTTAATGGATGTTTTGATAATTATCTAAGAATAAATTTCTAGAACTGCAACTACTTGACCAGGATGAACACACACAGTTAATTCTAAATGAATTAAGACCATGGCACACTAAAATGACCTGTGACCATGGTTCTTAATTCCAGCCACTCCAGAGAGTTTAAGAAGGAGGATGACCAAGTTCAAATCCTGCCTAGGCTACAAAGCTTAAGATCAGCCTGGGAAACCTAGCAAGACTATTTCTCAAAAAAAAAAAAAAAAAAAAAAGGTGGAGGAGATGGGCTAAAGAAGTGGTTTATTGGTAGAAAACTGGCCTAGCATGAGCAAGGTTTAAACTGAGTTTAACCATCATTTGCCCAGAGCCCTTCTCTCAGGCAGATTCTTCCTTCTCACACCTCTGGCTTCAACAGCCCCCTTCTTTCCCAGCCACCCATTCCAGCCTGAAATCCATGGACCCACACTCATAAATTCCCCCAAAAGCAAGGCCTTTACCTGCCTGGCAGAGTCCACAGACTAGACCTGCTGCTCCCCACTGAAGCTCCTGGGCCCATGGCTCTGCTCCTTCGTGCATGCTGGACACCATCCACTAGGCCCAACAGCAGCAACAGAAGGAGAACTTTGCGCTGCCTGTCGATGGTGCCCCGTGCCTGTCCTGTTCTGAGCTTCATTGTCCCTCAAGTTCCAAGTCAACTCTGGCCCCACTTGCAGTGTAGGTTTCCTGGAAAAAGGCTTTCTCTTCCTCTGATGGCCAGAAACTATTCCAATACAAATGAATTTGTATAGCCACCAGTAGCAGGCACCCTCTAGTGCCCATGGTCCTCATCTGTGGAGGTCTCTCCCAGAGGGACATCTGCAAACTACCCTGTTGTGGTTGGGTTGTAAGCTCACACCTGCCTGTCTAATCCTGTCCCTGGAGCTCTGGGTGGCTCCGCCTGACTGATAGCCAGGTCCCCAAGGCCCCTGGTCTGTGGAGCAGGTCCCCAGGGCTTAGACGGGCTATGGAGAGCAGCTGAACACCTGCCAATGGAACAAGAGTCCCTGAGGGTTTAACGCCAAGATGTGAGGTGTGTATGGTTGTAGCTAGTACAGGGTCACAGGTACCCTGAAAGCAGAAGTTTGAGTTCAGCAAAATCCACTGGTTTGCCGCAGGAATCATGATATAGTGATTAAAATGGTGTTTAATGCATCATGTTAAGCACCTGTAAACCTCATATCACAAGCCCAGACACCCCAAATCTTTATAGATAACACTTCATATCTGTTAAAGTATAACTGATAAACATCAACCACTCATGGTAGCACCTGTCTGCTGAAACCGGAAGATGGTGTGTTCAAGCCATCCTAGGACATATAACAAGATCCTGTTGCAAAAAAAGCAACACAAAACAGAGGAAGCAAATGAAAATTGTACAGGAGTATACTACATGCTCATTGGCTACAGCCTATGTATGCATTATGAAATAACAAACTCTCATTTGTTTTTCTGTGTAATTAGATCATGTAAAGCCTATCCGCATCACCATTTTCATTGACCTGTTGACTTTCTGTGGTATGTAAGCCCGTGAGCTTCTTCTCCAGCTGTGGGAGCATTCGTTTGGCCATGCACACATTGTGGGATTCTGTAACAAGCAGGAGTCTTGCTTGTCCCACAGAAATCATGAGGATCATACTCCATGAACTCATGAGATTCTGCTTGGATCCGTGTCCCTCAAAAACTGACAGTGGACCCTGAGGGGCAAGCACTACGTCTTGGAGAGCTCATGGTCATTGAGACAAAGACAGGGTACCAGACAAGAGAGTATGAGCTCCCTAACAGATGTAAGGCGCAGGGGACTCCTGGTACAGTCTAGCTTTTTCTTCACTTGAGGCACATGGCCTCTCTCCTACTTTGGGCTCCTTATATCTTAGAGACTGAAGGAAAGACCCAAGAGACATTGATCAAATTGCTCCACCCCAGAAACTCCACATCCCAGGACTCAGAACCCATAATTCCCACTTGGAGCAATGCCAGATCTCCAGACCTTCCCATCTGTTCTCTGAGCCCTGATCCTTCCATGGCTTCTGGGCAAGAAGTAGCCATAAACCACAACTTCCTTCAGTTATCCAGATATAGCCATCAGACCGCCCTCTTGCTCAATAATCAAGATGCCTGACTCTCCTCTCTTCGGTAGAGGACTGTCTCCTATCCAGATATTCAACCCTGCTTTGGTACCAAAAAACACTCCTTACCTCTGGCTCCTGCCCACCTCTCCACTCAAGGCCACAGAGAGGCTGCCTGTGGCCATTATTTTAGAACAGGTACAGACTGCTTTTTCCAGATCACACTTGTTGATGCTCTAAAAGCTTCCCGGCTTTCAGAATCCCTGGCCTGCACCCTCTCTGAGGTGGTTTCTGTGATTTTTTTTGGAGGGCATAAGTCATTCTCCAAAGCCTAGAGATTTCAAGGCTTCATTGGATATGAGAATGATAGTGTAGCAGTCACTGGCAAGTATGGAGATCAACGTGATGATGAAGCCTCTGTATCTACCTGGCTGGGCCACAAGAGCCCAGGGACTTAGTCAAACATTAATTTCATGTTTCATGGATAATTTTGGTGAAATTAATATTTAAATCGTGGCTTCAAATAATATAGATTTCCTTTTATGATGTGGGTGGCTTCGTTTAGCTTACTGGAGTACAAAGATTGAACTCTCCTGAACAAGAGGAAACTTGGCTGACTGATGGCTTTGAACATGAACAGCAACTCCTCCCTAGGCTTCCAGCCTGACAGCCCCCTTCAGATTCTGAACTTTCCATCTTCAAGCTGTGGAAATCAATTCCTGGCAATCTAAATCTCTCTGCACCTGTGCACACATGCACACACACCATTTTGTTCCTCTAGAGAATGCTGTTAAATGCTTTAAATCAGCTATGTCATCTGATGTCCATGGAGTGCTCACTCAATCTGAAATGCAGGGGCTTGTACTGGCACACTTCCTGCCCAAGCTGGTAATGAATAGAGGGTCCTAAGTCCAAAAACATCAAGCCTTTTTTTTTTAGACAGGGTTTCTCTGTGGCTTTGGAAGCTGTCCTGGAACTAGCACTTGTAGACCAGGCTGGTCTTGAACTCACAAAGATCCACCTGCCTCTGCCTCCCGAGTGCTGGGATTAAAGACCTGCACCATCACCGCCCGGCAACACCAAGCCTTTTATGAGTCATGAATGTCTTGAAAATGTGAGGAAAGCCACAGAAAATCTTTCAGAAAACAATGTATGCCTCCATAAAGTGCTGCTTCTGATTCCCAGGACTCCACGGTTAACTACACATGTGTTAGTCTTGAAACTTGGGGAGAGTGGGAAGTGTTCACATTCACTACAGCTTCCCCACCTGAACATGATGGTACTCAGTGGCTTCGGGATTCACAGAGCTCAGTCCAGACAGTTATTACTGATAAGGAGACATTAGTTGTGGTCAAAGCTCTCTCAGTAGAGAGACTCACAGAAAGATTAAGTTCCAGATAGAAGACAAATCTAATCACTAATGCCGATGCCCCTGCTCTCAGCAGAGGCTGGCTGGAACCATGGGTAAACATTTGCAGGATTAGCAGTGACCTAGGCAGAAGGTCAATGGGATAAACATTCATGAATGACCAGCAGCTCCTGTACTGGCCTAGCCTGAAGCTAGAACCCACATCAAACCAAAAACAGAAGTCCACATCCCTAGGTCATATCACAAAAAACAAACAATATGAAATGCCAAGATAATATGTTCTCTCCCTCTCCAAACCCACTCACTAGTCCTATAGAAATGTTCTCCATTGAGAATTCCTTAGATAACCCTCAGCACACAGAAATGAAAAGAACAATAATAAACTTGAACAAAGAATTCAAGGAGATTAAAGAAGACATTGAAAAAACCCTCAGTGCACTTAAAGGGGATAGCAAAAAGCACCTAAGGTATGTCCAAGAAAAGACAAGTTCATAGGTGAATAAAATGATGAAGATAATCCAAGAATCAAAAGCTTATTTAAATAAAGAGGTACAGATATTGATATCCCAAGCAGAAATAAAAATGGAATTGAAAACTCAATAACCCAATCAGAAAACTCAGGGGACAGCCTTATAAGTGGGATCAAGTAGAAGACAGAATATCTGAATTTTAAGATAAAGTAGAGGAATTAAACCACATAAGCAAAGAATATGAAAAATATTTTAAACACATGAAAGAAATATGCGGGAATTATAAGATACCACAAAAAGGCCAAATCTTCAGATTATAGGCATAGATGAAGAAGAAGAATACAAAGTCAATGGCATAGATCAGATCTTCAACAGAAATACAAAAGAAAAACTCCCCAAATTAAGTGGAAACATACACAAACAGACACAGGAAACATCTAGAATACTAAAAAGACAGGACCAGAAAAGAAACTCCCCATACGGTTGTCTAAAGGAAGAGAACTGATAAGATGAATTTATATATAACTGAGCTTTATTAGGGGGACTCACAGGCTGTGGTCCTGCTAGTCCATCCATCCCCATCTCCCAAGAACCCAACAGTTATTCGTTCCATGAGGCTGGATGTCTCAGTTGTTCTTCCGCATACGACCGAATCCTGAAGAAGCAGGCTCTAATACCAGGGAAGGAATGCTCCTGTAGCAGGACAGAAGAGCTTGTCAGGGAAAGCAAAGTCAAACAGGCACAAAGCAAAAGCTTCCTTCTTCCATGTGCTTTATATGGGCCCAAGTGTGGCCTAGGTTTAAGGTGGGGCTTCTGACCCTGTCACAAAAAAACAAAAAAAGGAAAAAGAAAGAAAGAAAGAAAGAAAGAAGCCATATGATCATTTCATTAGATGCTGAAAAAGCCTTCAATAAAATCCAACACCCCTTCATGATAAAGATCTTGGAGAGATCAGGGATACAAGGAACATACCTAAATATAATAAAGTCAATATACAGCAAGCCAGCAGCCAACATCAAACACATTTGTCCACTCAGATCTAGAAAATGTATTTACTGCATTTGAAAATAAATGTGAAGCCGGGTGTTGGTGGTGCACACCTTTAATACCAGCACTCTGGAGGCAGAGGCAGGCAGATCTCCATGAGTTGGAGACCAGCCTGGTCTAAAAGAGCTAGTTCCAGGAGAGCCTCCAAAGCCACAGAGAAACCCTGTCTCAAAAAACCCAAAAGAAAAAAAAAAGAAAGAAAGAAAAGAAATGTGAAAAAGTCTTCAATGGTAATAAAGAATTGCAAATGCCAACCAACTTTTTAGTCCTGACATAAACAGAAGCAGGGATAATGTCAAAAAAAGACCTATGATGACTCCATTCAATATTCACACATCAAAGTCAAATGAAAGCCTGAAGAACCATTTCTACTTGCAAAAGGAAGGTGTTTGCCAATGGCAGTCTTTGGATGCCAATATGGGTGACTTTGGCACCAGGTCAAGGACACAGAAATATGCTCATACTGATAGATAAAATGTCAAAAACATATACTGGAAAAAAGAGCATTATTAGATACAATGTTGACTGTTGAGAAAAGAAATAGTTCTAAGAAAAATAAATTTTCGTGGGGCTAGAGCTGTGGCTCGGTGGCTTAGAGCTCCTGTTGCTCTTGCAGAGACCTAGGTTCCATTCCCAGCACTCACATGACAACTCAACTGTCTGTAACTCCAGTTCCAGAGGA